GTGGGAGCTAGCTCAATAGGTTTCAGTGATGTTTGACAAGCAAGAGGTATGGGGATCGAGGCCTATCGCCCTCTGAGCTAGCTTTCTTTTTGACAGGGAGCTCTACCTTTGTTTAGCCCGGTTTCGAACGATCGGGGCTTGAACCCGCGACCTCGTCATCAAAATTAGTTATAGTTAGCCCCGTTAAAACATAGCTTTACACTTGGCAGTTTAGGGTAGTTAGTAGTTGGATTCTTTATTTTATTTATTTATTTGAGTTAGATTCGTTTTTATTATTATTATTATTATTATTATACTTTTTTTTTTTTTTTCTCCGTGCGTGCTATCGATAGCTTCACTTTAATGAATCTGCCTAGGCAACCAGGGCAGATTCAGTGAAACGAAATGGGGATTTTTCGATTGTTGCAAGGCCCCGCCGCCAACCCGATTATGTTGGGCCTACCTAYGACGCAGASAAGATCGAGCACYGCACGCAGGAAGCGACCAGCGAGYGAGCGATGCGAGAGATCCGAGCACCTCGAAGTTGATCGGGAGGGAGACTCGTGCGAAGGAAAGGGGCGCATCAATGTTGGAAGTCGAGCRGGGGCAACTTGCCGACAGTCGCATGGGYGCAGCCATGCGAGCCTATGCACCATTGRGGAAGAYGGATGTCGAGACGGGAAGAAGATGACCGCACGGKCGAAACARCGAGCAGAGGATGATAAAGATGACTAYGGGCCYGGGCATGGCAACGAAGGTAGCGCGCAACAGCGAGSAAAAAGCTTAGACTTGCYCGCGCGGATCTCGACCTCGAAGTCATGATTCGAGGGAGTCTTCAGTCCTGAGCSGAGTGAGAGACGACCTCAACAGAAAGAGAATGCYTGTAAGGAGAARGAGGGAAGAAGAAGTATAAGACGKCGAAGAATAAAAAGAAAAAAAAGTGAGATGASGGAAATGCAATATACCTTCCATCCGCCCGACTTGTCCGAAGGCACGCTTATGCCCGTCGTGTCTCACGCGCAGTGGTCTTGGTACTCTCCACATCACGACGGAAYGTGTTACAGAGCGGTGCRTGGTAGAAGAAGGCGACATCACGCAAACGAGGAGGAAAGAGAGCGCAAGGCGGAGGAAGAGAGGAGCGTGCGAGCAGAGAAAGACGAGAGAAGCCGCCYGCGAGTRAGGGGGAAAGAGAGCACATCGAGAAAAAGAGGAAACGCGATCGTGAGAGAGTGGAAAAAGGGGAATGACACGGGGAGATGGCTGCATGGCGGGTGCTCGACCGATGGCGATGGAGATAAGGTAAAAGCGCGCGCATGCGGGGGTAGAACGTGCGAAGGAAAAAAAGTTAGTCGCACGGTAGGAAGGAGAAGATATCGTGAGAAAGAGAAAAGAAACGAAGAAGAAGGAGAATAATAATAATAATAAGAACTGTGTAGCACACCGAACATGTTCGGCGCCCCACCGAGCAGCCGAACTTGTTCGGGCGCTCTGCCGAGCGCGAACGGAACATGTTCGGCCGAGCGCAAATTAGAGGGTTGCCAAGCACGTCCTCATGTGTGTGTGGTGTGTTTGTGGGATGTCTGGGGTTGCGTGTGTATGGTGTGTGTGTGTGTGTGTMTGTTTAGGAGTCATGAGCGATGCCCCCCAGGGCCCCCCAACCCCTATATATATAAAAAAATAAATAAATAAATAAATAAAAATTAAAATGTTCGGGCTCGGTCAATTTTGGGTCGCGTTCGGGCTCGGTACCGAGCGTTCGGGTTCGGTCACCGAGCCCAAGCGCGATGCTACGCAGAATAAGAAGAAGAAGAAGAAGAGTAAGGGAGGACATGAGAGGGCGACGTACCTGTCTCGGGGAGAGCGGTTGAGACTTTSTTGTGATGTTGTCTTCGTGTCCGCTCTCACAAACAATGTGTCACGTTTGTGAGAGGGGGACCGCGATTTGGTAGAAAGGCCTTGTGCTCTTTGCCATCCGAGATGCGTCAGAGAGCGATGGCACAAGTGGCAAAGGCCCTGCAACCGTTGCTTACCGAATGTGAGGCTGAAAACTTGTGGAGTGGTGACAAGTGTCCGACGTGAGGATGGGCTGACATCGCCTAGACGATCAGTTGAAATGCGTGCCTGTATCGGTGGTGTTCCCCCGTGCTGTTTGCCTTGGTATGCTGCACGTCACGACAGATCGAGTTACGGGCCGGGGAGCGTAGTGCCGCTGCCGCCGCCGACGACAACGGAGCGAGAGAGAAAGAGCAGGTAAGTTTCTAATCTCGCGGCTGTCCTCATGGTACTTCCACCAAAGAGAAGGAGCAAAATCGAATGAATCTCCCGCTAGAACATGGAAATATACACCACCACTTGCACCGCCCGCTGTCGCGCCTTCGCCCCGGCTCGCCCACATGATTGCCATGTATGTGTGTGTGTGTGTGTGTGTGTGTGTGTGTGTGTGTGTGTGT